TTATAAAACGAACCCGACAAGGGACCTTAGCTTCCATGCGGCGGATACGCGACAGGGCTTCAAATGCAGGTGTCAAAGAAGCGGGGTCCTAGACCCTTCACGACCTCACGCAGAGAGTCTAGGTGCCTAGCCCCACAGCCCTATAAACACTAAACCACACAATGCTATCTACGGTATGTGCTGCAAGAGCCCTGATACATTATAGTAAAGAGCCCCTTGGGTGCAAATTATAACAAAATGAAGAATATCTCCGAAGGACATGCCAGTTCTATAGAACCTTTGTCATTTAGGGTTTAGCCTAAACCCTAAACCCTAAACCCTAACTATACCCGAAACCCCAGGTGCGAACGAAGGATCTTCATCTTCTCCAAGTACTTGTCGAAGGTCTGCAGCTCGGCCATGCCTGATCCGGGGTTCCCTTTTTGGGTTTCTACTTTCTTGAGGGTTGGAGTCTTAGGGGTTTACGGGTTTAGGGAATTAGTTGTTTAGGGTTTAGGGTTTAGGGTTGAGGGTTTAGAGCCCTTTGGGGTTTTTCTTCAGGGTCGTTCTTCAAGGTTCTTCAAAGGGGGCTTTGTAAGGGGGTCTGTAAGGATTCGTCTGTAAGGCTTCTCTGGTTCCCTGTTGGGGCCATCATAAAAATTATCATGTTTTATCCAACTTGGGGGTTTAATTACAACCCTAAACCCTAAACCCTATACCCTAAACCCTATACCCTAAACCCTAAACAAACATGTAAAATTCTATACAGCAAACACCCAGATCTAGGGTCTGGAGTTTAGGCCTTCCAGGGGCTACAGTTTGGGGGATGAGGGTCTACTGTAGGGCGTGAGGCTTAAGGAGATTTTGGCTTAGGGTTTAGGGTTTAGGGCTTGGGGTTGAGAGGGTTTGGGGTTTAGGACTCAGGGTCGGTATAGAGTAGGGCCTAGAGTGCAACCTAAGACGTCCCAACTACCCGGAACGAAAAGCCAAAGCCCTGAACGAACCATATGGGTAGTTCTCTAAATTCGGGTCCCTCTTTAGGGTCCCTTTGATAAGGTTGCCGTACTATATTGGGGACCTAAAAAGGGACCTTAATTCGGAGAACTACCCATACGTAGCTTGAGGTGACTGGAACCTCGCGCAACCAACACCACTGGTCCAGCAAGTGAAAGCCAAGATCAGACTGTTTGTGAGCGCTTTCTTGATGCAGCATACTCCGTTTAAAATGGGAACGTCCTCAAAGCCCTAAGCCCTCGATTGAGGGGTTAGAAGTAGGTCGAAGATGTGTGGCAGGACTGCCGAGATTTCATGTAAGGGTCAATGTTTAGATAGGGTTTCGGGGTATATTATGGTACCGTAAGATATAATACAGAGGACAAAGGAGGTGGACAAGGGGATATATTATCATTGATTACTCCGACCTCTTTGCCTGGGTCGGCGACTCAGGGTTTGGGGCCTAGTACACACGCCTTCTGAAGGATGACTTGGTACTTCCGGCTACGTCTTTGCCAGGCTTTGTCCTCCCTGAAAGCTGCCCCCCTTTGCAGGACCGTCAGTGCTTGCAACTGGACTCCCACATGGGATGAACCTACCAAGTATTTTTTTGTATTGCTGGCGTGCGAAACTGGCCATAAGCTCTGTTCTAAAAACATCGAGGAGCCCACATCGGCCTCTTGCCTGTAGCATCATACAACTTATGATATCTTCCCTTGCCGGTGCACCTTCCGCAAGCTGCGCGTGGGTCTGATGGGACTTTTCGATTGCGTCGGGATCCTTGGCATTTGTACTAACCCGATGACTGGGTGGCTGAAGGGTTTGGGGTTTTGGGTTTGGGTTCTTTTTGGATTCGGACTTGCTTGTTGTAGATGTTGGCGGTTTAGGGCTTATAAGGCTTCGGACGACAGAGGAAGCTGACAAGGATTAGTTCCGGTCAGGGTTTGGGTTCAGTGTTTAGGGTTTGGGGGATCAAGGCTTGGGGTTTGAGGGTTCAGGATTTCTTCTTCTAGGATTTCTTCTAGGATCCAGGGATGGCTCGTACATCGAGGGGTTGTACTTGTACCCTAAACCCTAGAAACCCTAAAACCCTAAACCCTACCCTAAACCCTAAACCCTAAACCCTAAATCTTATAAACCCTATAAACCCCATATACCCCATAAACCCTATAAACCCTAAACTTCCCGCTCTTCACCAGGCTAGACAGTCTAAACGCCTCTTCTCCAACGCCAAGCCCAGCAGCCCCAAGGCCGCAATTCCTTGGAGACCCCTCGTATACCTATAGTCTCCATTGTAGCTCCTTTTTGGGGTTACCTTTTCGGATCCTTAATACCCCTCGTATACCTATAGTCTCCATTGTAGTTCCTTTTTGGGGTTACCTTTTAGGATCCTTAATACCCCTCGTATACCTATAGTCTCCATTGTAGTTCCTTTTTGGGGTTACCTTTTAGGATCCTCAATATGGAATTGAAACCAAGAAAAGGAACTACAATGGAGACTATAGGTAAGCCCTAAGCCTAAACCCAAACCTCAGGGGCTGGGCTAAGGTCCTTGGTCCTTCATATGGAACTGAAACCAAAAAAAGGAACTAGAATGGAGATCCCTAAGCCTAAGATTCCATGGACCAACATAGGCTCCAAAAGAGGTTCAGGGTTTAGGGTTTAGGGGTTCAGGGTTCAGGGTTTAGGGTTTAGGGGTTTAGGATTTAGGGTTTAGGGGTTTAGGGTTTAGGGGTTTAGGGTTTATAGGGTTTAGGGTTTACCTACCCATAGGCCCCTAAGTAGTTCCTTCTTATGGTTTATGTTTAGAATCCTATAAGGTAGTCTCACAAAGGAATTACTTAGGGGCCTATGGGTAATAAGGTTACATGGACCAACATGATATGGGTAGTTCTCAAAATCAGGGTCCCTTTTTGGATCCCTTTTATGAGCGTGCCGTACTATGTTGGCGAGACCCTAATTTAGAGAGCTACCCGGCTTGAAAGCTGCCTAATATTGAAGTAAGGAGCTTTTTACTGGCTAAGTGCGAGGATGGACCCTTACGGTTGTGGGACCCTTCTAGTACTTACCCACTCCCCAACTCCCAACCCTGCCTACACCAGAACCCCTATAAACCTCAAACACTAAACCCTAAACCCTAAATCCTAAACCCTAAACCCTAAACCTCTAAACCCCTAAACCCTAAACCCCTAAATCCTACACCCCGAAAAATTAAGACCTAAGTCCGAGCCCTAAAGCCTTAGTCTCAGCTGCTCTCCAAAGCCAAGACCTCCGCCATCCAGCTTCGAATATGAGGGATTTACGGGAGTCTTTGTTAGGTTCAACTCAGGGCTTTGAACAGGGTCCGCAATTTAATAGTTACAGAAGGGTTCAGGGGTATATTTCCATACTCCAAAACTGGACTAGAGAGATAAATACCCAAAATCCCAAGTCGGACACGTTACGACTGCAGCCCTTTAAAATGTAGCTTGTTTGAGCTCCATGCTAGCTTTTGAGCTCATGGTCTATAAAACCCAACCCGCACCACCGGGACGCTGGCCCACTTCTGCTGATGCAAGTAGATGTCGTACAACTGCGCAAAATGACCTCAGAAGTGAGTTCAGGCTCGGGTGTATCTTTTTTTGGTTGGGGGCGGGGTTCAATTCAAAACTTAGGGACTAGGGTGCAACGTGACCTCATCGAAACTCGCAAGCGCGCCTGGGGAGCTACACTTGAGTTGAAACGCGACGGAAAGCACAACGGAGATCTGCTCCCTCCAAAGGTAGCTCTCCGAGTGCCTTCGACAGCATACGTTGAGGTTCTGGGGTTAGCGTTTTAGACCAAAGTTTCATTGTTGGCGTCAATATCCGTGGTACGAAGTATGAGCCTTCCAACATCAGGACTCGTGAAGCCATAAACGCAAGCCGGTTCATGAACGGCCGCTGCCTCTTCAAGCAGCATATGCGAGGAACAAGGGACCGCGATGACAGGATCGTCTCGCTGCATATGCAATATAATGGAATAGAAGTATGGCATGGAATATATATATATACATACATACATACATACATACATACATACATACTAGATATATCATGGCGTACCCACACCATCCAAAAAGTAGAGTTACTTCAGGAAGACCCTGTGCGTGTCAATTAAACTGGAAAGCCCCGGCATGTAGTTTGGCTCCGGGTCTGCGGCTCCCTAAACCCTAAACCCTACCTGGACCCCAAAGAACCTACCTTTTTAGGGTTCCTTAGTATGGCTTCTTTATATAAGTCCATAAAAAGGTAGGTTATTTGGGGTCAAGGTAAACCCTAAACCCGGTTCAAATCATGTTTATCAATCCCTAAGGCTCTAAGGACTCATATTTAAGGCTTTTGTGCCCGAAGACCATGCTATATTAGGCTTTTGGGCTACTTTGAGCCTTAGGGAATGGCTGCAGGCAACTGATGCAACTGAGAGGCTTTCGCACAGCTGCTGAGCCTGAGCGAGGGCTCGGTTTACTATGTCGGCCTTTGTAGTGCTATGTATATGTGTTTTTCTATGTATGTATGTATGTATGTATGTATGTATGTATGTGTGTATGTATATATATATACCTATCTATCTATGTATGTATGTATATATATATACACACATAAATGCTTTTTGTGTTGTTGTATGTATGCATGTGTGTATGTGTGCGTGCATGCATGTATAAATGCGTGTAGAGTATGTCGAACATGTGCATATGTATGTATGTAGGTATGCAGGTATGTTTGCATGTATGCCGCTAGTTATATACAAGTATCCGTAATTAGTTATCATCCTACATAGAGACATACATACAGAATCACACAGATAGGCCATCTGCCGTTTGAGGGATAGTCGAGGGACAGTGGAGTTGCCATGGGTTTATGGCTTTGAGTGTTGGGCTTCCCTTTTGTCTGCCTGCACAGCGCGTGCTTGGCGTCTGGAGCATCAGATACTTTAAGGTAGGGTTGAGGGTTTAGGGGTTCAGGGTTTAGGGTTTAAGGTGTGCTCCCTCGAGGCCCGCACCCTGGCCCTTAACCAGCGCTGCTCAGGCGTACGTGCGGCACCACGGCACGCAGATTGTCGACCAGATAGGCCCACTCAGGAGACTCCAGATTATTACCTAGGCTCTTCAGTAACCCCGGGGGAAAAAGTATATACTTTTTTAGGTTAGTTGTGATATACTAGGAGCCCAGGAACCCCCAAAAGTAAAAAAAAGCATGCTATTGAGCAGCCTAGTTACTCTGCAGGTCAAGCTCTTCCAACGATCCAGCTTCGAAGTCGAAAGCAGCGCGAACCAAAGACCTGGTTCGCTTGTTCAGCCGGACGCCGCCAATGTCGTTGTCACGCAAGGCTAGTCTCTTCAAGCGCTTCAGGCCACGAACCAGGGTAGGCAGGTTGCGTTCCAAGTGGCCTGGTGAGAAATCTCCGTATTCGCTTATGAAGTTTTGAGAGAGATCCAGATCAGTCAAAGACTCAGACCAGAACAAGAATGCCAGCGCAATCTGCGGCCGCCCGTCTAAGTTCGTGAAGTGGCACAAATCACAGCCTGCTAGGTCAAGCTTCGTCAAGGACGCGAAAGCCGGCTGGTGCAGAGCCATGAGGAATTCGACTCCAGCCTGCGTCTCCTGCAGCTTCAGCTCACAAATCGCTGGGAAGTGCGGCAGAACCTAGAGATTCCAATATCCCTTTATGAAGGAACATACCTTAAATCATATTAGGGATCCTACTATAACTTAAGGGATATTCCTTCATAAAGGGATATTGGAGTCTCTGGGAACGTGTTCGACCAGGCCAGGCCATGAGCGGCCGAGCTCGAACCCAGAGACGTCCACCGAAACCACGCGGCGCCTCAGGTCCTCGCAAGGGCGCTTCCAGACGAGCATCACGAAGATGCAGGTGCAGAGCCATGGCCAATAGCCGCTTCCCATCATCATCACCACCATCACCATCATCACCACCACCATCATCATCACCATCATCATCATCATCACACGACGACACAGACCATGCAAAGAACGATTACGACGGCAGCTCGTTTTAGTGGCTCCTCCTCGAGAGCTGCAAGGCCGGAGCCCATGTGCCAGTAGTAGGCCTGGGGTCCGGTTTAGGGTTTTAGGGTCGTAGGGTTTATTTGTGTTTAGGGTTTAGGGTTTAGGGATTTAGGGTTTAGGGTTTAGGGTTTTAGGGTTTAAGGTTTGGGGCTTAGGGTTTCCCATTGGCCCCCCCTCAATAAGACGGGTAACGGCTTTATAGGGTTTAGGGTACCCTTTGTCCAGTACACTTGATAGTAATAATAAAAGTAGAAAGAAATAATAAAAACAAAAAGTGATAAACAAATAGGAACCAAAATATAAGGGGGAAACCTTTCAAACACAAATAAAAGGGCACCACGAGGGAACCGAGAGGCTGTGCGGACCGGCCAGGACCGCTGCGCGGGCTCCAAATCCAGGAGGGGCAGGCGGAAGACACCCCCTTCCGGAAGCTCCTCAACCAGGACCCTCTATTGGATTTAGGGTTTTTTCGTTTTAAGTTAGGGTTTAGGGTCTAGGATTTAGGGTTTTAGGGCTTAGGATTTAAGGCCTTTAGGGTTTAGGATTTGGGGTTTGTGCCTGCAAGTAGTGGGCCTTTGGTCCTAAATAACGGGCACTTAAGGGTCTAGCGGAGGGTAGATGGAGGGCCTAGGGATGAATTGAACCCTGAGCCCTGAGCCCTAGGCCCCACCGCTGTGGGGGGTGGGGCTGGCCGCGGTTCGGCCATTTTCGGCCCTGGGACCTGTTGACCTTTCCTTTCGGGGGGGGGCTCCTGAAGCGAGGAGAGGGCCGTGGCGACGTGGTCCCCCAAGCCATAGTCGATCTGACAACCCGGCTGTCTCGCGCCCTCGAAGGCTGCCACCGTGCTCAACCCTGCATCGTTCGCAGCAAAGACGAGCTTCTTCAAAGACGGCAGCTCTTTCAGCAATCTCGGCACATAAAAGGATGCCAGCTCTTCCTTTTCTGTATGGAAACCGCGGACCAGGGCCTTGTCGTTCAAGTGCAGATCCAGAACTTCCAAGGCCGTCAAAGTCAGCAAGCTCACGAAAAGCGCAGAAGTATGGGGCAGTACACCTGGGCCCCCATGGAAGCCATGGGAGGAAAAAAATCCATTGCAGGAGAGGTTCAGGTAAGTCAGCTTTTGAAGTTTGGGCATCGCTGTGCTAAGCGCCTGGATGCAAGTGTTGGCGTACCCCAAACGGTTGCCGGAGAGATCCAAGGATGTGAGCTGCGGCATGTGTGACAGCAGTGAGACTAAGTCAGCTGAGTCTTGCCGGTCCACGACGCGGTCCATCAGTGCCATTGGCCGAAGCACACCGCGAAGGCACAGGACCGTGCACTGCAACCTCCTATCAAGAACGGCACGCGAGAGCGCGTTCATCTGAGGCTCTGACATGACACCGCTGCTTCCATCGCCACGGCTGTCCTTGAGACACGGATCGTCATCTTTCGCACCCAGCGAGAGCTCTCGGAGAGATCCGAGGCCGAAGCTCAGACTTCGCAGCCCATCATAAGGCTCCTTCAAGGCCTGCAAGAGTTCGACAGCGTGCTCGGCTTCCAGCTGCAAAGGCTGCGGCTTCAGAACCACCTGAAGCTCTACGGAAGACAGCTCTGAGTCGGCGAAGGGTTGAAGGCTCCAGTCCTCCAAAGATTCGCCTTTCCATGTCAACTGCCATGCATCCCAGGAGATTCCAGCAGTCGCTCCCAGCGCTTCCACCAGCATCCGCACAGAGACATCCCGTGGCACAGCGACCTCTGCCAGCTCACGGCCCGCCAGGGAAAAAGCGGTGACGCCGATCGTCGGACTTGACGACATGCTCGAGGAAACGCAGGAAAGCCAAGTGCAGGTGTGAGTCTCTGCGTGTATGTCAGTCTCTCTCTCTCTCTCTCTCTCTGTCTCTCTGTACGTACACATATGTATGTAATATGTAACATGTATATGTATGTGAAAATGCATGCAGGTCTGTGCGCATGCGTGTGTAATTGTGTGCTTTCGTACCTGCATGGCTGCAAACGGAGTCTTCACCTTTATACAAAAAACACCAGTCAGACACTCATGCATTCCTACGGAGGCAACTCGCAATGCTACAAACCAGGAATTTGTGTGCACATCAGACCGTTCTGACGACGACGACTAACACCACCACTAACACCACCACCACCACCACCATCACCACCACCACGACTACGACTACTACTACTACTACTGCTGCTGCTCCTACTGCTGCTGCTGCTGCTGCTGCTGCTGCTACCACTACTACTACTACGACT